CACTATATTGCTCATAACTTAAGCAAATAACTTTGCACTTGTCCCAGTATATATCCCAGGCATAGGATAATTTATATTTCTTAATGAAAAAATTCTTAACTGGTTGTCCATACTGTTAATTACCTAATTTGGTAACAACCTAATTCCTCATCACTGCTTGTCAATGAAACTGAATTCATAGTCTGCATCCTATTAAGTCTTTAGTCCAAATATTTCCTATTTTTCTGTGTTTAATATTGGATATATTTTTCTCTGGGAAATGCTTTTATTGTAGAGATTCTAAATTTTAAGAGATATTACTTATTTCATGCATCTCAAATTGGTTTGTATTTATATTCCATATGCCTTAATAGACCCAAAATAACAGAGAAATATCACCAATAATTTTGTCTTAAAAATTATTTTTGACCTTTTAAAGAAAATAATTATTTTTTATTATAATACATTTTGAATTCATTGGAGTTTAGAAGATAGGAATTAAGTATGGTGTATAAGATCAAATTAGTGTAGTTTTTACTGTACTTAAACTAACTATGGCTTGTTATCATTCCTTAGAAGAAATTAATTCTTTCTATGGTTTTAGTAAATACCTCAGTAGTCAGATGGAGTTTGTTGAGTCATACTATCAATATTTTCTAAGGTGTTTGTTTATTAGTTTTGTTATTTTCAATTCTGTCTTTTAGTGAATAAAAATACCGTCTGTTTCTCTAAAACCACATAAATGTACAACCTCCAAACACACCCTAACATGTAAGTAAAAATTATAAACAATCTTAATTAAATGTGTAATTATATAAAAAAATGTAAAAAGCAATGATGATAAAAATGGATTCTTTAGTCACTAAGCACTGAAAGTATTTAATTATATGTTTCTAAATGTTTAGTGTCTAAGACTATGAATATTTATAAAGTAAAATATAAATCAATAATCAAGAATTAAATCTGGCTCCTAAAACCATAGAATGTCAAGCACTATACTTTCGAAACATTAAAAAGCCAGGGTAAAGAGACATTTATATTAAATTCTCAGTATTTATGTTACGATTTTTGATAGAAGAACTCCTGAGTTCTTCAAATAGGCATAAGTCATCAAATATTGTAGAGTTTAGTTTCTGTTCTGTATAAAATTTCTTTTGGTTGTTAGGCTTAATATTTAATGTCATTTTATTTATTTCCTTATTGATTTAATTTTCTTTAATTACAAAATGCTTTGATTTGAAACCTGATTTCTAAGGATATAACTAATGCTAATTAAATTCTACTATAGCTTCAAAATAGATAAGTAAAGTTATGGCATCACTGATTTTGTGTTAATGTGATTATGTGATAAATCTAAAAGAATGACCTCCAAGAGACCTAAAGGAGAATTCTATCATTTTTTTAAATATAAGATGATTGAATGTATCCCTTGTCAAATTTATGTGTGTATAAAGTGCACTGTGTTTATTTGTAACTGCAACACTCTTTTATCTCCTCATTTTCCCTGTTGACCCCATCTCCTCAATATGTCTGCTCGCTACATTCATTTTTCTTTCTTTTCTGATTTTTCTTTCTTACTCTCGTTTTATCTTTCTTTCCTTCTTTTTTTTTTTTTGAGTCTTACTGAGTTTAAAATCTATCATTTTTGTGACTATGTCTTTGGGATCACCTCATGGAGATTGATGAGCATCTTAGTGGACAAACAATAGAATGCGATACCTGCATTTTACCCAGTAATTCATGTATCCAAACAGTCAAGAAGAGATGGCTAGGGACCTTTAACATTACAGAATCCATGACACATTCTGGTAACAGCATAACAGATCCAGGCATGACTTTAAAGCTGTTGTGGGTGCTTCTGATGTGCCTTACAAAGAGTCAGTGGAATCTTTTACCAATATATGGGTTCAAGCATTTAGAATTTTCCTTGGAATAAATTCAGTTAGAAACAGGCACAAATACAAATTTAGAAAAAAAACAAAGAAAGCAAAGAAAGAAGCTACCGATAGATATATTTTTCTATAAATAACTAAAAATCCTCTCAACTATTCATAAAAAGGCAAGATGGCTTAGTAGTATAGTATATATTATTAAAAGTAAACTTAGTAGGAAAAGGGGGGATTTCTCATATTATCATTAAAATGGAACCAAGTACAATTTTATGAACTAAAACTATACTAGCAACACATTAAATATATAACACATACTTTAAGTATAGAAGTACACATAGATAAATGCTATATATGATATAATCATAATATATTTAAGGATGAAAGATATGTAGAAATTTAAAGTACAATGTAAGTCATAGAAACTGAATGATAGTTTGAGGCCAGCCTGGTCTACAGAGTGAATTCCAGGACAGCCAGGACTACACAGAGAAACCATTTCTCAAAAACCAAAAAAACAAAAACAACAAAAAAGAAATAGAATGAAAATAAGTAGAGGAATCTAATCTAAGAGACAATGTTGAAAGAGGAAGCGACTTACAATGCCATGGATAAATAAGAAAGTCATTTTAAACTCAGTAATTAAAATAAGAAGTAAAAGCTATTTTTTACATCATTGCAATAAGCTATAGTATATAGAGAGAATTAACAAACATATAAAGAAGAAAAATTGTATCCAGAATGATGATTTTAAACTGAAAGTCTTCAAACATCAACATTACCATCAGAAAGACAGTTTGATATGGTTTCTAAATGACTAATGTAAAAGAAGGAAGTAATAGAATAATAATCATGTTACCTATCTTTCTGGACAGGACACAAATACAGCATTGCTAGCAGTGACTAATGGAACTAACAAAATAACAAAAATATTTTAATTTTAAAAATAAGACATAATCTCAGAAGGAAGTTCTAGCTTCAAGAATTTATCAAACCACAATTATCAAAATTATGAATGTGCATAATTAAGTTTTACATAATAAAATGAACCTCAGGAACTGAATGTAAAAAGTAGCAAAGGTTTCAAAAAGTGATGACATAAACGTGTGATTCAATTTAGAAGGCTTAGGTTTCTAATATAATTATTTGTTTCTCTTTTTTGCCTTTGTATTTCTGAGTACTGAACACAGAGTATCACACAGACTTTGCTAGTTTTCACTCACTGAGCTGTGTTTGTAGATCTTAAGAGAGAGAGTACTTATTCTTTCCGTTGAAATCTCTTCTGCTTATTACATAATTTAAGGGATGAACTACTTAAAATTTTGTTTAAGTTGAAGTTAAGTAAAGTTGAAGCAATGGAGAAATAGCTTAACGGTTATGAATGCTTTTGCAGGGAATACAAGTAGGCCCCCAGCATCACATCCAGCAGTTCACAAATGTCTGTAGCTCTTGTTTCAAGGAAACCCAACACCCTTTTCTGGCTTATAGAATATCTTTGCAGACATGTGGTTCCCATAAGAAGAGAAAGGTAGAAATGATTATAAATAAATGATATATTACAGTTCATTCAAGTATTAAACACAATTTCTTCAAAATTATTCAAATAAGGATGAATTTAAACTTTGTACCTAAGGGCATATAGAGCAGTAACATCCCACCGTATGAGTGGGATGTTAAAAGAGTGATGTTATGAGTTACTTAGTTACTACTTTCATAATCTGAGACAGAGAGAAGTCAAAGGAAATTACTTACAAAGAAAGTATGTGCCACAAAATGATAAACACACAGAAAGAAGAAGCTGCAAGTAAAATCGATTTATCTCAATTCCTAGACTGTAAATCATTTATGAATTTTTAGTTTCCAAAGAATTTTACTTGGAAGCTTGAAATAATGTCTCAATAATATTTTAATAAGCAAAGTTCATAGACTTTTCATTTCTTAAGTGTGCTGTCTCATGACAACATCAAGCTTTGTCAATGTGAGTTTTTTCAACTTAACAGCCATGATACATCAAAAAAGCATTCATTTACGATGGAGAAAAAAAAAACTTGAGATTGGTGATGCTCGGTACAATAAAAGATTTATAAAATGATTGATAAACAAGATCAAAACATAAAACTACATATAATTTGTAAATATTAAGTGTCTCATGGAATATCAATAAATATTTTATGTGTGTGTCTTCTACTTTAACTTAAAAAAAAAGAAAAACGATTAAACAATTTTTGCTGCCTAGTTTTATGTCAACTTGACACAAACTTGAGTTATCTGAAAGGAGGGAAGCACAATGCCTCAATAAGATCTGGAGATAGTGCGCTTTCTCAAGTAGGGAATGATTGTGAAGGGTCCAGCCCATTTTGGGTTGTGCCACACCTGAGCTGGTGGTCCTAGGATTTATAAAAAGGTGGCTGAGCAAAGTAGGAAGAGCAATCGGCAGCACTGGTCTCTGCATCATCTCCTGCCTCCAGGTTATCCTATTCGAATTCGTTCCCTAACTTCCTTCAGTGACAGACTGTGGATATGGAAACAAAAGCCAAACCAACCCTTTCTTCCTCAACTTGCTTTGATCATGGTGTTTTGTCACAGCAATAGTACTCCAGACTAAGTACCCTTTTATATATTTGTTTCATTCTGCCTAAAACAATCAGTTTGTAGTTTCACATTTTGTTTGTATTTTTATCTGTATCAAATCATATGATCGTTAATATTTCTGATGATCATTCTAAAACTGGTATCTTAATCTTAAATGTAGGAGTCTGGCCAAAGTAAGTCGTTGAATATATGTTATAACTAAGCAGCTTGGTGTTCTTGTGGGATCCCTAATGGTGAGAGCAGGGACTGTCTCTGTCCCTTTTGCCTACTTCTGGGACATTCTTCTAGATCGGCTTGCCTCACCCAGTGCTGCTGTGATGGTTATGTACTTGCTCTTATTATAGCTTGTTATGCAGTATTTGTTTGATGTCCCTGGGAGGACAGATATTGTCTGACGGAACTTGAGGGTAAGGGATGCATCCAGGAGATGGTGAGAGCCTGAAGAGAGGAGAGGAGCAACTGCAGCAGGAATTAAGTATATGAGAGAAAAATGAAAAAAAAAAATGTTACTTGTTAATTAATACATTACGTTTATTTAAATGAGGGACACCATGATTATAGTGCCCTATTACCACAAATTATGTAGTTGAATTTCTAGCTTTTTGGTAAATCGCACAGTTCAGCACATACAGAGTTCGGTGGATAAGACTTGCTCTGGAAAAACGACCTTTGTGAACATGGTATCTCCCCGCCTGGAATGTTTGAAAATTGATGCTCTTTTTAATTGCTATTCTACCAATTTCTTTTCGAAAAGGTTTTTAGAAATATAATTTATTTCTATATGTACAGATGTTTGGCCTGAATATATGTATGTGTATTCAGTCTGTCCTATGTACTTATCGAAGCCTTAAGAGTTTTTCCGACCCTGATGGCTGGAGTTGCAGAAGGCTGTGTGATGCTGTGTCAACAGGGTCCTATGAAAGAGCTACCACTGCTCATAAACACTGAACCATCTTGTCACGCCTTTGTCAATTTCCTGATCTTATTTTTTTCATAAAAATCAGGAAATTGATGCAATTTGTGCTAATATGACATTATAAACATGAGAAAGTCTTAGACTTTACACATAATATTTTAAGGTACTGTTCTTTAAGGAGTAAGGTTTAAATAAATGACTACAGTGCTTAAATGAGCATTACATTTAAGGAATAGTTATAGTCATTCCAATATTCTCAATACCAAGTTTTAAATATAGTTTAATGTTAGAATTATTATACCTTAAATTCTCTTAAAAATGGCATTAATGTGTGTGAACAAGGAAATATCAATGATTTTATAACCCATAAACAAAATAGTGCTCTCAAGCCCTGTAATTACATATCTTTAGTTAATAAATGGTAGAGTTTAGTTTTTGTTTTACTTTTATTGAAGGTCCTGTTGGCCTATTATTATTATATTAACTATTTTGCTTTTCATATTTTATATTTTGCTTCAATTCGAACACTTTGTCTAATTAATGAATTTATTTATCTTTATTCTAATAATGTAATTACTGGTTAATAAAATATTTCTATTTTGGTCACTTTAGTGTATCATGAACAGATATTGCTTGGGATATTTTAACATTAAAAATTTAATCTTTTCCTAAAGCTGAAATAGTGTCATTTTTAATTAGAGATAATAATGGGTGTTAAGTTATATATAAATCTTGGTAGAATTGCATGAAACTTATTCTTGTTGCTGGAAACCTAGCCAAAACACATGAAGAGGCACTGGACCAAGAGGAGAATCTGGAAGTACCATATTACTAAGGAAATATCGTTTCCAAATGCTTTATAAATTTATAAGTATTCATCAATACTGATCAAAATTCTGAGGAAAAAGTGAGCTTGCTCTCCTAACTGCCAATAACATGTCTATAACATGTACAAGTAAGTCCAAGAAGACATAATGGAAAAGAAGCAGAAAGAACGTAAGATTATAATGAGTGGAATGACTTCTGGGAAAATCTGTTCTGAACAGGATTGGAATATTGCTATCATGAATGCTTAACAATAATACTGCCTTCACAAGACATGCAAAGATCATACTAATTAACAAGTACATGAGGGTGGAGAAAAATGAAGAGCTACAGGCAGTCAGTGTTTGGTGAGAAAGAAAGATTTTTCTTAGAAAAAAACCTCAAATCTAAATGGTCAGCTCAAAACACATGAAAATTAGAAAATTTTTAGTTGTATAGATGCCTATATAAATATATAGATATCTATATATAATATATATGATAGGAATCACTTGGATATATGGTAAATATAATATATATATATATAGTCTTTGTGTGTGTATACATATATAAATATGAATGTTGAAAATACTAGAAGAAAAATAGAATATATAACATAGAGGGAGCTGGTGGGAGTAAAGAGGAGACTGGTTAGTGGGGAAGAGATATAAATAAATCAAAAGCAGTGTGTCATTTATGCAATGAAATCTTTAAATAAATATGTGTTAATCCTTAAAAGTGATGTGATCATTTCTGCTAATCCAAACATGAAACACCACTCATATTTGGAACAATCATAGTAAAACATTATTAAAAACAATTGAATATCATCTGCCTATGTTGCCTTCCATCATATGTAGGTTACAGAAAGTCTGCTTTGAAAATATGAGAGCAAAGACAG